TTCTATAACTAGGGACAAGTTTAAAGGTATTTTATAACTGGGGAAAATATATAATAGGGAATCCCACTATTTGAAAGTGACATCCTATGTTTTTTAATTCCTTTATGCTTCTGGTATTGGTCTTTTTTCCAATTAAGTTGATTTTTTACAGTTCCCCAATCAATATCAGACTTTTCAAATCCACTGTTTTTGTTTTATTGGAATCTCTCACTTTTAATTATAGTATTTAAATTTACTATGATTTAGTATAGTAGACACACCATTTTTCTATGTCCTATGTTGTATACATATTTTGAATTCATTACCTCAAAACATTAAGAATTTTCTTTATACTACATTTCAATTTTAATATCCGTTCATAAACTTTTCAATACTTGTTTGTGGCATTGCATTACCTTGTAGCCCTTGACATTAAATCAATGTTAATGATTGCACCAATTATTTATTTCACATTCACTGCTGTTTAGCCATATTATTTTCTTTGCTTTTAGTCCTGAATTGACTTCCCAGTCCTCTATTGTACATGTTACTATTAGTTTTACTGCCTAGATGGACTCTGGTGTTCACGTCTGTTGTTACTCCATGGGATTTTACCAGCTTAATTTCTGCCATGTGAGGTCTCCTGTTGCCTGCTAAAATCAACACTACATGAAAGCTCTCTCTTATGGTGTTAAGATTCTAATGTCAAGAAATACATATTTTCCATCCTGAAAACCACAAAAAGAGTTTTGGGTGGACATTATAGATGCCTGCATGAGAAAAACAGGAAACAGTATAATTAAAAAGGTGATAGAATATTTATAGAGTGCAGGTGGTTCAATTGGTAGCATGCTGACCTTGAGAAAAAAAAAGGTCAAGTCTTTGAATCCTATCTTGAGATTACTTAGGTCTGGTAAATGTATACCATGGCAGATAATAGCTTTACAGGGTGTGAAGGTGCTGAAATTGGAAAGAGATATGAAACAGACTTTCTTCTTGCTGTATGAAAATGTAGACTATGTTCAAGGGAGGTGGAGATCCTAAAGTTAACTTAACATTCAAATGAAGAGACACATATTTATTTAAATTAGTGATGTGTTGAATGAAGAACTGCATGAAACTGCATATGAGACAAAATCATATAGTCTTTGAACCTTGTCTCAAATGTGTTTAAAATCCTCTGGGCTTTGGTGATACAGTAGATGTATATGCAGAAGAGTAATACCAGAAACAACACAGTATCCTCATAGAAGACACTCTTTCATAAGAGTTAACATAATAATAGTGCTGCAGTCCTCACTTGATATACAACCAAGTTGTATACAACGTACTGTAGACAAGCAGTTAACGTATCAGCAGGCAAATGGTATTATAAAGGAGCTAGTTTGAAGAAGGAAATTTGTACATCAGTGCAAAACTGTTGATATACAAAGACAGCATTATAAATGGGGTTACCATAAAATGGGTCAATTGTATATATAAAAACATTGTCTTTCTTACTATGAACAAAATACACCCTATGGAACACCACATATTGCATACATTTAAAAAACTTTACATTTTCCCACTTGAACATATTATGTAAGTGTTAGCTTATCCGGCTCGATAGCAATTACATCTCTGTTGGGAACCTGCAGAAGAGAGTTTATTAACCATTTGGTGTCTTCATATTTTAAATCTGCTATAATTCCTGAATATTCATTGTGTGTTGTGTAACACTAAAGGAGAAAGCTATTCAAATATGAAGGTCTGCTCACATTCATTTCTTCTTGAGTCCTTAGATGAATTTTAGATATAGTCATTTTTTTCAAACTTTGAAATATTGCCCATAACTTTAATTTATTTGATATTAAAATCAGATAATTGAGTGCCTGTGATGACAACTTGTATAACAGCTCTTTCCTTATTTGGCAGCCCAATCCTTCACTAATTCAGACATCTTCACACTTATTTCAGTTGTCTTTGTCCTTTAACAGTCCCATCAGTTCTGTACTGATCAGAAGATATGTTTGACACTTGTAGACAGGCTTATGCAATATAATGAAGTTAAGTCTCATAAATTCAGACGTGTGCAATGTGGATAATGGAAAGGGAGAAAACTGATCGAAAATGATCAATCATTTTTTATGATCTCTCCCTAGCCAGAGGGTAGAAATTCCACTGTGTCATGATAGCAGACTTCCAGATGGGAGAGTGAAAACTGACTGCGCTCTGGTTGGGAGACAGCACAGTTGAAACCCATTTGAAGTCCGCAGTTAAAATGGCTGTAGGCTGAGCTGTTTCTTTAGGTCTGACAGACCATTTAATTTAGGATTAAGATTTGGGTTATAGCAAGGTCAAGAAAGCTACTGTAAAACTATATATCTACAAGTTAATGTTGTTATTCATGCCATAAACATGTAAAAGCTACTAAAGATATTATTACCTTACCAAGTATATATATATACGTATTAGTAATCTCCTTTTTCATTAATGACAAGATGGTCTTTTCAATGGGAGGTGTATTGCTTTGTTTTTGAACAGAAACATGCAAACATTTTACAATCATAATCAAACCATAACATGCAATCATAATCAAGTCACACCATTGTAAATCATGTGCTGTGGTCACTTTAGGCCATCTGCTAGAGAAACATCCTGTTGACATTCCCTGAAAGGAGGAAAAGGGAGGGTGATGACAAAAAGGCATATGCAAGACCTCTTTAATCTTCATGTAGCTGATTTTATTTTCCTTCCTTATTAAATACGTGGGGTCTGAGAGATACAGTAGACCCATGCGTATTTTGAGGAACAAGAGCCAGCATATTTAATCTCCTTATAAACACATTTGCTTATGAACAACAAAATTAAAACTGAGCAGCAAAAGGAAAAGAAAATCTAAAAACAGTATAACTACGGTTAAATATTGATTGCGTAAAATGTGCTACAGTATGTTCAGTAATGTTCCATTTATATATAATCTTGTATTCATTATATGCACAATTTTGCATAATGTATCTGTGATATGTAATAGTAGTAGATAAGGATGTTGTAGTAGTCATTTAATATTATGTTTTTTCTATCAGTTGCACTTTTATTAAGTTTTATTTCTTGATACATAGTATTTTATTCAGAATGCTTTATATTAATTTATTTCACTGTGTGAAGTATTCAGGAAATTTGTTTTCTCTTAGTGCTATAGTATGAATTATAGTTTAAAAATATAGTACATACAGTATTCATAAATCCAATTTTTGGTTGTCGAAAGGAAAATGATCAACTGTAATTCCTAGGATAAATGAAAATCTTAAATGAAAACCTAGAGATGTGCTCTGTCATTAGAGTAAACTATGAGGGTTTTTGTGCTTCTTGTTCTTTTTTACTCTTGCTTGTAAGGAAAAATGGAAGCTACCCTCAATAACAATTCCTGCAGACATACTGTAATGCATGTATCTTTCCATTAATGGTCTTTTGGTGTATTGCAAAAAGCTAGGAGTATAGACAACATATTAAAACATCAAATACAAAGACACCATCTAAACAGAATGCTTAGTAATTGAAATGAACACGCTATTGAGAAGCTCAAATTTGTGTGTTTGTACTTTATTAATTTCAATTTGTGTATTATCCTTTCCTGGAACTACAGGAAACACTGTGACTTGATGTTGTGATTAGAACAAAAATAGCAATAATAGTATTATATCCTGTTTACTGAGTAAACCCCTGTCTTATTTATTTCTTGATTGCATTAAATTTGTTCAAACATCATTTGTCTCTAGATTTGTGTTTGCTACCAGGAAATGTTGCTGTAACTATAATTTAGACATACTGTAGCTATGATGAATTATGGGTAATTTACATGGTAGAGGAGTTTCTGAGAGATGCCACTTAACTCAAAAACACATAAATTAAATACCCATTTCCAATTTCAAGGTATTTATTAATGTAATATGTTTATACAGTTGTACTAAAAGTCATTCTTAAACTGAATAACAGTTAATGTTTGTCATGTAAAATATAAAGGGAAGAACTTTGTGGTGGATAGTAAAGAGTGTGGATCACGCATGAGTCATGTGTCTATAGATGCATTTGAACTGTGTAGTTACTTTTGGCGACCCTTATTATTTCTTAAAATTTGTTTAAAGTCTTCTATGCATCATTACAAATATTTTTTCTTATTTATTTTTAGGTTATTCATTATAGCCTATTTAATTGTTGTATTTATTAATGTTAAGATTATTGATTGTGTTTTTCTTTTAAGTGTGACTTAATAACGATAAACATTTAATTTCCATTTTAGTTTTCGTATTGAAGTTAATTTTCAAGATTTATTATTATTGATTTTATTTTAGATCAATAGGTATGTAAGGAACAGACCAAAATTGTATACATTTTGTTTACTGAATAAGTATGAAATGATGGGAGATGAACAGAGAGACAAAAGGTCATCCAGAAAATTGTATTTATCCCTGAGACCATTTGGTTTGTACAGCATGCAGTATATTGCCTCATATACTCTCTCAAGTTTCTTGTCACAAAGAACAGAAATGTGCAAACTGAGAGTGCATGATTTTTGCCTGTGTTTCACTTTGAAGTTAGTTTATAACTAACAGCTTTTTTTTGCTGTTACTCTATACTGTATTTCACTAAGTATTCAGGGTGTTACATTGGTTTGGCTTTAAATTAAAAATATTTTATAACTCACAGTCAAGCAACATCTTTTTTCCCCAATAATTAATACATTAATAATTAATAAAGAGATTTATTAAACCCATTTACTGTACATGAAATTGGTATTGTAGCCCTATTGCAAGGAATACAAGACTTAAAGACTAGTCCGGCACAGCTCAGGAAAAAAAAACCCACTGTGCACCTTCTATGTAATGGAAAATATGCAGTATGTCTTTTACTTTCTGTCTGTAAGGCTATCAAAGACATTCTGCAAACTGAGAATACCATGCATTTCAGAATCATTGATTTCTTCAGAAATAAGCGTATTTCCTAATTTGTCCTGCTAAAATCATTCTCTTTCTTCTTTGTAGGTTTCTACATCCTGTGTCCCTGCTGCTAATTATGAGTTGGTAAGTATCCTCATTTTACTTTTGTGCACCTGAACTCCATACAGTGTAGTTTTGTTTCCGTTTTTACTGCACATCAAGCCCGGTTACGTGTAGGGACATACTGTAATGTGTTTATTCAGATGGGTTCAACTATTGCTAACAGAGCACAGTAGTTGAACTGCTGTTAAAATTCCCAGTGGAGAAAGCAGTCCAGCAGCCTTGCCTTTTTTGGTTTGGGTTGCAGATGTAGAGGGGACTTCAAAAGGTTTGTTTTCCATATTCTGCCTTTTAGTTTCATCTAAGCTGGCATAGCACAGAAGCTTATGAACCATTACCTGTAAACACTGCTGATATTTTTCTGGAATTTATGATTGAGGATTATTTTAACTAAGTGGACTAGAGACTTGATTGAGTAATTGATCTGTATCATTACAAAGAAACGTTTCCCAACAATATTACTTTTGTGTTTGTTTTTGATGTTCAAAGATAGGTACTATGCACATCTTAAGATATATGAAAAAAATAAAAACAAGTTTGTTTGCAGAGCTCAGTATAACATGAAAGCCTACAGTATGTTGTCTTTTATATTTTGCCTACTTATTTGACATTGTGAGAGCAGCTGGTCTTCTGTTGCTTAAGAATTATATTTTTTTCAACTACAATTTTGTAGTACAAATGCTGTGGATAGTGAAAAATTTTAAAATATTATTTCCATTACCTCCTTTGTTGTTACCAAAGCTATTAATATTCCTCTTTAATAAACAAAAGGTTTTCCAAACCTTTTTTACCTAATAGGAAAAGTGAATTTGTTCAAAATATTGTTTTGCATTTCACAGCACAGTTTTGTGCTTACATTCCTTTACTACGCATGTTTTAGTTTTTCCCCAGGATGCCAAGTTTAATAAAGAGGAGTATCCTGTGACATTGCCTTGTAGCAATTTCTATTTCACTTTTGTCCAGAGAATCACATAAAGTGGCACTGATTGCAGGGATTAATGGTGATTGCTTATTTAAACATTAATGATCCCAGCAATAAAAACACATTAAGGTATTCTTTAGGAACTGGACATACAAAAAAGGGATAAATAAATAGAAAACTGCTAGAAGCTCAAAGCTGCTAAGCTCTGGAGAGCTGTAAAAGCAAATATAGATCCCAAGCATAACAATTGCAGTATTTGCAATGGAAATGCAAGACACAATATTAATAAACTAAAAGCAACATATAAGATAAATGGAGGCCTGCCTCAATAGTTCTCAAATCTAATACTTATTTTCCTATGTTAGAATTTACTGATGTGTGGTTAATTTAACAATCTGGTCTTACAGACCATCAGAACTACATAAAATGTACAGAAGCAAAAGTTGAGATGTAGTTCAGAATATTAAATCTATATTGTTTACATCTGACAGCACCTGCAAGTACTTAACATACTGTACATGAGTCTATTTAACATCTTTTAAATAGAAGTCTGCAAGACAGTAGTGTGTCTTCAAATTCAGAACATAATGTATATTTGAGTCTTCACAAAATACTGTAATTCGCTATCATCTTTGAAATCCAACAATTAGACAGTTTAACACTATAACCTACAAGTCAAACAGAAGGTGAGAACCATGATATTGTGAGAAATTTGGCCATGTATAGATTTAAATAATGCGTATAGTTCAAAATTCTCAAAATATTTTCTTTTTTTTGGTAGATAGCTGTGATTAATGTTTCTTTTTTTTAGTTATGAATGATCTAATAAACCTTTATTAGGTTACCATCTCCTTTATCCTTCCCAATCATATACACAGACCACAGCAGGATATTTCCATATTACCTAAACTAAATGGAACTATATTTTAGTATATGGCATTTACTTTTGTTTATACTGGATAAAATAATGCCAATACGTCTAATAAATAGGAAATAAATTGCTCCATTCTCAATGATATAAGACGGGGTAGAAATTTATAAGAGGTAATCATTCTAATAATTAAAATAATTAATCTTTTTTTCCCTTATTACTTAAGGGTATAACTCTTAAGTAAAGGAACAATTTGCTGATAATTAGTGGATAGCTTGTCTTCTAAATGCTTGGTCTTAGGGATACAATTCCAAATTCCATTTTTGGTTAATTTCTCTGCCTAGAGATACTGTAAGAGAAGCTCAAGATTTATGAGCCTTGGAGTCAGTCTTTCTCTGAACTTAGGTAATGCAAGCAGTAAATTGGGTTGACAAGGTAGACCTTGAAAACCAGAAAAGTAAAAGTACTCCATCAAAATACGGACAGCACTTATTTTAAGTAAAGAATGTTGTGATGATTTATTTCCTTTCTGTTTATCTGAGGAGTTTACAATATTTATTGTTCTTACTTTATAACTACTGTATATCTATTCTTTATATGCATACAGCAAAAAGACAGAATGAGACGTTTAGTCCCCTGTAGTGTCATGATTTGATTAGAATTAATTAATATTCCTACTCTTAACTCACTGCAATTGTATGCTCCTAACACAAACCCCAAATCTACAATGTTATCACTTCAACATGTGATAACACAAGCTTTACCACTTACACAATTAGTTTTTACATGTTTGTCTGTTTATGGTACAGTAGGATTGCCATGTGTAATGTACCAAAAACATGATATTTCATTCTTTCTTATTGTTATAACAAATAAAAGAAAGTTGTAAATTTTAAATAATACTAATTAGCTAGGAATCACTACAAGATCCCAGTCTAAGCATTAAGGAGCACAGGGTACTGGTGAAATATTTTACTAGAAAGTGTATTATTTAAACAAGGAGGGCTTAGATGCGCTGCCTTTCGGGGCATAACAAAGTCTCGAAATAACTTGAAACAACAGGAACTGGAACACCTCGGGAAAACCTGAACAAATGTCAGCCTGAGGGCTGTGCACAGTGATGCTGTGATGTATGTTACATGTGTTTTGCGAACTGGTTTGTGGGCAGGAACATTCCAGAGAAGCACCCTCATATTTGTTTGTGCTGGGTCAACAAAGAATGTTTTTATTAGCCAGGAGCGGGACAGACCAAGAGCCAATGGAATTTCAGCCCCGAGGGTACTAACTTTTCCAATATGATAACTTACTTCGGACCCCACACATCCTCCAGTGCTCACACTATCTTTTAACTGTCATTACAAACATAGTCTCTTTAAAATGGTATAAGTGGCATTGACACCACACAGACATGGAATTTCCAAAACAAAAACACCCATTGTAGTTTCAGGTAAAAGCCACTTGTGGACACAGTAAGCATGGCAATTTCCAGTTAACAGAGTTAGGGACAATATTTTCAATGCTAAAAAACACGCAATGATATCATTTTTAAAAGGCAGAAATTGGCAGACTGTTAATTTTTTAACACTTTCTTGCATGGATAGTCCTACAATAGTCCTACAAAACTGTATACAACAATATAAAGTATCTAGATGAACAGTATTAACTTTCATGTAGGGATGTTTACATTCCTTGTATAATGTGAGACTGAAAATATTCTTTATTTGCAACAGATGAATTACTTTATTATCTTTGTCCTTTTTAATAAAAAACATAAATACATGATCAAACGATTATTTGATATTTTAAACACTTAAAATACAATACGTACATTCTATCCTTTCTGGTTTTGTGGGATAGTGTAGAGTAATGGAGGCTCAATGGTGGCTCCTGTTGCAATTAGTGGCATGTTACTTGTCAAAATAAGTATCATTCCCCATTGGAAAAAAACTTTTGCTAAAAATTGTCCCCTGGAAGGATAATGTATTTGAGTATGTCCTCCCTGAACCCTTGATTACTTCAAAGGGAAAAATAACCCCCCCTTTCCCAGACTGCCACTTACAGTACTTCAAGGAGAACCCTCTCCCATAATAGTTATGTCAACAATCTGTTTCAATGGGGTTATTGTCTTAATATTTATGTGAGTTTAACCATTTTGCATAATAGGGTCAAGTATTCAATAAGAAAGGGCTCTTGTATACCAAAGTTCAATAATGAAGCTTTGTAAAAATGAAATAAACATCTTTAAATTATAAATGCCAACTATCCCAGCTGAAAAAAAAGGTCTGGTTTAAAATACTAATGATATAATAGTACACTTGCATTACTTATTACCCTCTCTCACTGAATGCAGATGAAATTAGATGAAACAAACATTTGAAAAGGATGCCCTTTTCAGAAATCATGCAACAAAAAGATCAAATGGAAATACTAAACCATGAACTTCAATATATATCACAGAAAGCAGAGGTGATCCGATGACTTACAATACTTTAAAATCCCTCTAGGGCTGATCCCTGTTCAGCATTTCCTAATATCTGGTCATAATTAACATCCAAATACAAAAAATGAATTGTAAGCATGTCTAACGCTGCCTAATATAGCAAACTATACATACTGTAACTAAATAAGTTTGCATACAGGAAACATAACTTTTTTTGAAAGCAAAAGTTTGATTTATACAGTACTGTACAAACGTTCCAACTTCCATCTTTGTCCGTGACATCATTCACAACACAGACTAAGCCAAACAAAGTTGTGTTTCTCTACTCAGCTTGATTCTAGCTAATCATCCTTTATGATGTACTATCTACATGTGCATTCTGGCACTGAACAAAGATATATTTAAAAATGTGATAATCTAGGAAGAAGCAGCATTAAAGTTATTCAACTTACATGAATCTGAATTTGAAAAGGCTTGTTTTTTCTTGGAAGATTTTTATCTTAAATTGCATCTGTTTAGCTTCTTTCCATGATGGTGGTCTTATGATAATCTGACTATTAAAAGCTGGTTTGTTACTGTCTTAAGCAACAGCAAAGGTTGTCTGTTCTTTCCAAGAGGTAAACTGAGGTTCCTCTGACACACATAAATAAACATGAATGACATTCACATAATCATATTACTGTCTCATAAAGCAGAACATCTTATTGGAATCGTGGTTCACAAGCCTTCAAAACAACTTCCAGTGTGAGGTACTCCAAAGACAGCATTTATGTATACTGTACAGTATATGT